TGGGGCACAGCCCATCGGGCACAAGGAGAAAGAAGTGAGACACGCAAGACAGAACCAGAGAAGAGGGTGTTTTTTGACACATTTTACTGTGGTGATTTGTCAGAGCTGGCCAAGTCCTGCATGATTGGGCGGGGACCCCACTTCCCAGCAGACGCCGGCCCAGCCTCCGGCAGCAGAGGCGGTGATTTCAGTCAGTGATGGACCCAGAAGGGCCGGCAGAGAGGCAGTGGGGCTGGCAGCATCCGGAGGAGAATAAGGCCAGAGACTCTGGGCTCAACATGGCTTGAGGTTCCTTCGCCTTCCAGACTAGAGCGAGGTCAAAGTATGCCGCTTCCTCTCAGTCCAACGCCCCGGGCAAACTGCTCCAGCAGGCCCCCGATGGCCCCCGAGGGGCTTGGAGAGACGGGCTTCAGGGCCACCGTGCTGCTGTAGGTAGCCAGGAACGCCGAACGCACTTCGTCCAGCCGAGACTCCCGCTCTGTCAGCGTCACCAGCCTGAAAGGATAAGAAAAAAACCCTTCCTGTAGCAGTTTTAAGACTTGCTCATTCACATGCGTAACACACTGCAGGTTTAGGGGAGGGGAGGAAAGGCTGAAGGGGAAAGGGCCTCGGCTAAGGTCACTAAGAGAAGTGGGTTTGTGGCAGAGGTAAAATCCGAACCAGAGCTCGGTCCCTTGCTCAAGACGCAGGTGAAAACAGAAGACTATGGCTATGCAGCTCCACGAGCGAGTGACGCTTCACACGGACAGGTGGCTCCCCACTCCCTCTGGAGCACAGAGACAACGGACGTCTCTGGGTGGTGCCTCTTCATCCTTGGTCTTCTGGACCTCAAGCAGCCGTCCTTCTGAGCAGGACAGCGCCCGTGGCTTGGAGGCTCTTCTGGTTCGGAAGCAGCACATGGAGAGAGTCTCAGATGGCCAGGGAAGGCCACATCTGCTCCTCGCAACTGCTGCTGGGGCTGCCCAAGCTCCACACGACAGTTGGCTTAGCCCTCTTGTGCCGTTCCCACCTCAGTTCCCCACAGAGCTTCCGTGGCTCAAGTCAAGGGAGAGGGGGCAGGAGACAACGCAAGGGAAAGCTTCAGTCGTGCGTTCACGGGGAGTGCTTTGGGAGGAACCAGTCATCGTACTATGTGAAAAAAAGAATCCACAGTCCTAGAAGAGACTCGGGAATACAGAACATGCATCTCTTTGGCATAGGCATCAGAACAGCCTCCGTTCTCTGGATATTGTTCCCTGGAAAGCTATGCCCACCCAAATACCCCGTCACCCGTTCCACTGCCGTGCTTCAAAAAAGCACAAAGTCAAAAGTTTCAGTATTCCGGCAAAGGTCAAGACCACCCTTTCCCCTTCCCGCACCACTGCGGAGAGGCAGAGCGCGCCGTGCGCCGCCTTCTGTGGGCTGAGCTTTCGTCAAAGGTGCTTTTGGGATAAAGCCTTCTGGCCGAGAGCTCCCGCATTAATCACGCTCCTCTGGCTCCATTACCCGGCCAGCCGGCTGCCTTGCCCAGCCACTACTCCAGAGCCCTCCCTCCACTGGGCCCAAGTTGAGAGCACAGTTTCTAAAGGGCAGTGGAAAGGGAAAAAAACCCCTCTCCAGCTGTGACTGCTAGCCTGCTGCTAGTTCTCCCCTCCTCCCCCCCACTTTCTATCCTGTAAGGAAATAGGTGTGTGTGTGTGTGTGGGGGGGGGGAGAACGGAGGAACGAGGGAGCTTCATGCAGAGTAGGGCACGGCATCCCCAGCGACTTGCCTCTCTCCTCCATCTGATCTACATACAGTTGGGGAGGAAGAGACGCAAACAAGACAGCCAACAAGACATTCCAGATGAGAGCCGCGCGAAGGGAGATTAGAGTTCAAAGGCATCTGCTCAGGGTATCTTAAGAAAAGCAATCTTTGTCCTGCCCGCCCGCATCTGCTCCACCCTCCCCACCTCGCTCAAAGAGAACACCAGCATCCCCCTTTCAGAAAGGTCACCCCAAGGGCACGGCAGAAGCCTGCCCATCACGGATTCTCTTTCATCTCCCCCGGTGTTTCGCAGGCTAGGAACTGCCACCGTTCATTTGAATGGAAGTGTCGGAACGCCACCCGCCGCCACCAGTGCTGGGTCCGGAAAGAGCAGCCGGGGGACGAGGCGGGAGGAGGCTGGGATTAAAAAGCAGCGCAGAAAACCCCACAGACAGGTGGCCGACTGGGCCTCCTTTTTATCCCCCCAGCCTCCCAGGCAAGGGGGGGGGGGGAGGAAGAGAGAACGGGCGACAAAAGGGACTGATTGAGAAGAAACAGCTTCGCCAACACCCACCCCCCCCAGGGACAGAAGACAGGTCGCATGGGGAACTCCCCAGAACCAAGCCTATACTTCTGAAGCTTCAGAACAAGGACTGTGCATTTGAACACAGAAACCACACACACACACACACATACACACAAGGGTTGCCAGCCTCCAGTCGGTGGCTGGACATCTGCTACTACAACTGATCTCCAGGCGACAGGGATCCATTCCCCCGGAGAAAATGGCCACTTTGGAAGGTGGACTCTGTGGCCTTATACCACATTGACGTCCCTCCCTTTCCCAAACCCTGTCCCTCCTCTGGCTCCACCCCCAAAATCTCCAGGCATTTCCCAACCTGGAGCTGGCAGCCCTAACACACACACACACACACAGAGAACACTTTATACCATCACCCACTGACAGATAAAGCAGGGCTCACATCTTCAGTAAGGAAAATTCACCTTCTTTTGCCCCCCCCCCCCAACCCTAAGCAGGCTTCAAGAAGACTCAGTTCCAAGGCTGGGGGACTCTCTGAACGCTACTCTTCAGGCTGGGCTTACTGGGCGTTTCCCTCCCATCAGAGCGGCCCAGAAAGCAAAGCTGCCACTCTCCTGGGATTCCTCCTGGCATCAGGCAGGCGGCTGCTGGAAGACTGGCTCTGAACTCAATGGAATTCGGCCTGATCCAGCCAGGCTGTTCTCTTCCCTGGCGCCAAATCTGGACTCCCGAGAACGTCAAAGACAGCTTCCCCCCCCCCCGAACTGCCTGCATGTCCAGGCTCCAGTGAAGTCCTCGCCGTGACTGTGGCATGCCCAGGCTAACTGTGTGCCCCTCACCATTTCCCAGCTCCTCACCTGCTACCACCACCCACTCCCTTCGCCTAAGTCCCCAAACCACCGAGTCTCAGTTACCGGATTTTCGTTCTGCACAGGGAGGAGAGGAGAGAATATGCCTGGGCACGGAAGCAGGCTCACTCCCCACCCAACAAAGCCCCGTGTAATTCCAGCTCCCGCATCTAGGCAAAGGCCCGGGCTTAGCAATGTTACAACAGATGATGGCTTCTTCTGTAGAAAACTTCCACAGACAGGCAGGCAGCGCTACCAGGAGATTACACAAGACTTTGGCGTAAGCCTCGGCTGCAGCCACATGCTGCTTCCGCCGTGAAATTACCCATTTAGTGACACTGCGGCTCGCTGGACTGGATGGGGCAGAGGAGAAGGAAAGCGGCGGCAACCGGCTAAGCTAAGCGTTTGGTAAGAAACCTGCAGGCCTCACCCTCCAAACTGCAGAGGGATCACTGGATTCCTCGCAAGGGGAGCTGGGATTTCTGGAAAATACCATTCTCTGCCCCCCCCCCCCGCCACTTCCTATGTGCGCAAGAGCCAATCTGGTGTAGCGGTTAAGTGCGCGGACTCTAATCTGGGAGAACCGGGTTTGATTCCCCACTCCTCCACGTGTACCTGGCTGGGTGACCCTTGGGCAAGCCGTAGTTCTGGCACAGCCATCCTTGGAAAAAGAGCAGTTTCCGTCAAGAGCTCTCTCAGCCCCACCTGCCTCAAAGGCAATGCTCCCTCTAAGCTGTGGAGTCTTGTGAGCAAAAATTCTACTTTGTGAGCTACTGGCATTAAAGCTGTGAGCCAGCGATTTGGCTCCTGGATAAATCAGTTTGCTCTGGAGCCGTCCTTCCTGAGCTGAGACCAAAATGTGTGAGTCGGAGGCTACGAAACTGTGAGCTAGCTCACACAAACTCAGCTTAGAGGGAACACTGCTCACAGGGCGTCTGTTGTGGGGAGGGGAAGGGAAAGGAGTCTGTAAGCCGCTCTGAGACTCCTTCGGGTAGTGAAAGGTGGGGTACAAATCCAATCTCCTCCTCCCTTCTACCACAGAATGGGTTTCCCCACAGTAAGGGCTGCCTTGCAGTTTAAGCGCTATGACAAGCAAACTTCAACCACAATTATTAGGAAAAGAAGGAAGGCAGAAGAGACACAGTCAGTCCTGGACTTGCTGCTCAAGAAGAGCAGCACTTCATTAGCTTACCTCCTCGTTGGCTGGGCCTTAGTGCCCCGTTTTGCAGACACTCCCCCCCCACCTTGCCTAAGACAAAGCAGGCCCTGGCTTACACGGCCAGTGTGGCACTGGGTGCAACCTGGGAAGACTCAGGTTCGAATCCCCACTCTGCTGACTTAGGTGATCATGGGACAATCACACACACTCTACTTAGCCTACCTCATGGAGTGGTTGTAAGGGCGAGAAGAAGGATTGTTCCTTTCCATACGCATTGCTATGAGATCCTTGGAGAGAGTACAGGGTGCAAAAGTGTGAGGAATTAATACAACCCCCTCCCCACCCCAGTATTAATTGACAAAGTGGACCTGTGACTGCATTACAAGAGCTATCCTGTTCAGACACTTATGGAATATCCTCACCCAACACGTGGCACTGGTTATTAGTATCCAGAATTCCAAGAGGGAAATGTGGACACATTCAGAGGGAACAAGATTTTCCCAGGAGGACTAAATGGAACCTCCAGGTGCAGGCAGCAGACCCCCGATACCCCAGGACGCAGAAGCACAGGGAGGTATTAGAACTCACAACAGAAAAACCATCTAATCAGTTCACAGAAGAATGCAAAACAAACTCACAGGGGGCGGGGGGTTTTTTGGGAAGGGGTGGAGGTGGACCTGTGAGCCAGAGAGCCACCACAAAACCGCCGCGGCACGCAAAGCCCTCTCGTGCTCACTCTTCCAGCCTCTTCGCTCCATCCCAGGAAAAGACAGAGAGACGACAATTTACCTGCAGCTGTAAGATCACCTCCCCTTCCCTGGAGGAGGCTGGAATCTCAAGTGCATTAAAACCACACCAGCCTTGTTACGGATTGGCCTAGATGGATCCTGTTTACAGCCTTCCAGAAATAGAGCGTCTCTGACAAGGTAGGG